ACAGTATTTCCTCAGAGTGGAGAAATTACGCCATGTTCTTCACAGCCTTCAACATGTCATCAATGATGATAAGCATCTTGCCAAGATCATTCCTATACCTCCACTTCTTGCCTTCAAACAACTGCCAAACCTTAAACAGACCATCAGTCACAGCAAACTACCCAGCCTTCAGGATAACATTGATCACAACACCACACGACCCTGCCACGGCAACGTCTGCAAGACATGCCAGATCATTGATATGGATACCACCATTACACATGGGAACACCACCCACCACATACACAACAGATACTAATGTGACTCGGTCAAATGTTGTCTATCTCATAGGCTGCTGGCTGGATTCCCCAAGGTATTGTATATTGGCAAGACCATGCAGACACTATGACAATGGATGAATGGACACTGCACAACAATAGCCAGACAGGAATGTTTCCTCCCAGTTGGGGAACACTTCAATGGTTATGGACATTCAGCCTCCAAATTTAAGGCAAGTGTCTTCCAAAGTGGCTTTCAAGATACACAACACAGAATTGCCGAGCAGAAACTGATAGCCAGCTTCCTGCCCATGAAGATGGCCAGTTCATGTCCCACTACATGTGACTCCACCACACAGTGCTGTACCTGTAAAATCTTCTTTACTGTCCTGGTTTGACACCATCATCTTGATAAATTGTTATAATCTCTGGACCTTAATTAGTTTGTACAGTTTTGGATTACTCATTACTTTGGTTAGACCATCAGCATGTGACCCTTAAACCTATTCTGTTATTCCAGCACCACCTTATTTTTAATTTTTTGTAATTATCTCTCTGCCTCATTTAATCGGATTACAGGTCATCCCTTCACTTGTTATCCAGCTGTTGACACTTTACTCACACCATCTGACACTCTTGATCACCTGCAGGGAATTATTATTCAGCCTGTCGACACTCTACTCACAGTATTTACATCATCTTTTGCTCTCTCTGCTCATTGATCTCTCAACCTATAAATTTTGTGCCTGTGTGTTTCTCTTTCACTTTACCCGATGAAGGGGCAAATGCTCCAAAAGCTGTGATTTCAAATAAACCTGTTGGGCTATAACCTGGAGTCATCTGACCTCTGACCCTCTCCACCCCAGTCTAACACCAGCACCTAAACATAATCCCTCCTTTTGTATTCTACAGCTCTGCCAATGAAGAAAAACATTCTATATGCCTTATTTGCAGCTATATCTTCCTGCACCTTTAGGGACATTTATTTTGCATTCCCTTTTACTGTTTAAAGTCTCTAAATGCATTACCTGAGATTTAACAGAGTTAAGCTCCATCTCCCACTTTTCTGCCTACTTTACAAACCAATCTATATATTGTTTTGAAGCTTACAGCTATCCTGTACACTATCCACTACACGGGCGACTTTTGTGTCATCTGTAAATTTCCCAATTATGCCCCAAACATTCAAATCCAAATCGTTAATGTATAAAACAAACAAGAGATGTCCCAATACCTAACTCTGAGAAACACCACTTGAAGTAACTTTTGATTTGCAAGAGCAGCGATTGACTATTACCCTTTGTTTCCTGTTACTAAGCCAACTTTGGATCCATTTCAACACATTACCATGTATCCCATGGGATTTTATGTTTTTGATCAGTCTGCCAAGGGGGACCTTGTCAAATGCCTTACTAAAATCTATTCAGACGACATCTGCTGCACTACCCTCATTGATCCTCTTGGTCACTTCCTCTAAGAATTCATCAAATTTGTAAGGCATGACCTTCCGTTAACAAAGCCTTGCTGACCATCCCTGAATAGTCCGTGCCTTTCTAAATGGCAGTTTATTCCATTTCTCAGGATTAATTCTAACAATTTACCCACCACAGGTTAAGACTAACTGGCCTTTCTTGTTGAGGAAAATAAGGGATGAGATATTAGGGGAAGCACCAGGGGACTGGAATACTGCTAACATTGCCCCACTGTCAAAAAAAATGAGGAAGAAATAGATCAAGAAATTACAGGGCCAGTCAGTCTACCCTTGATGGTGAAGAAGTTATTAGAAAGAATTCAGAGAGACAGAATATATCTACATTTGGAGACATATGGATTAATCACGTATAGTAAACATGGATTTATTAAGGGAAAGTCACATTTGTCACATCTGTTCATTTTTTGCTGATGATCCAATGGGTCAATGGGCTGGAAAATGGCAGATGGCGTTCAATGTGGGTAAATGCGAGGTATTGCATTTTAGTGTAACAAACAAGGGTAGGGCTTATACACTTAATGGTAGGGCCATGGGTAGTGTTGCAGAGCAGAGGGACCTAGAGTCGCAGGTATGTAAATCTTTGAAGTTTGCGTTTAGCATGCATGCCTTCATTGCTCAGTCCTTTGAGAACAGGAGTTGGGAAGTCATGTTGAGATTGTATAGGACATTGGTGAAGCCTCTTCTGGAATACTGTGTCCAGTTCTCGTCGCCCAGTTATAGGAAGGACATTATCAAGCCGGAGAGTGTTCAGAAGAGATTTACTACAATGCTGCCAGGTATGGAAAGTTTGAGTTATAAAGAAAGGCGGGATAGGCTGAGACTATTTTCACTGGAGCATTGGAGGTTGAGAGGTGACCTAATAGAAGTTTATAAAATAATGAGGGGTATAGATAGAATTAATGGTGTTGTCTTTTCTCAAGAATGGGGGATTTAAAGACTGGGGACACATTTTTTAGGCGAGAGGAGAGAGATTTAAAAAAGACAGGAGAGGCAAAATTTTTACAGAGTTCACGTATGGAATGAACTTCCTGAGGAAGTGGTAGAGGTGGGTACAATTACAACATTTAAAAGACATTTTGATAAGTACATGGATAGGAAAGGTTTGGAGGGTTATGGGCCAGGAGCAGGCAGTTGGGACTAGTTTAGTTTGGGATTATGTTCGGCATGGACTGGTTGGACCGAAGGGTCTATTTCCGTGCTGTATGACTCTATGACTCTATGAGGGTAATGCTTTGGAAGTTTTCCACGTGAATTTAGCAAGGCTTTTAATAAAATCCCTCCTAGCATACTGGTCAAGAAAGTAAACGCCCATGGGATCCAGGGCAAAGTCGCACATTGGATCAAAAATTGGGTAAAATGCAGGAAGCATGGGTATTTATAGGTGTCTGGAACTCACTGTTTAAAAAGGTTGAGCCAATTTTAAACAATATCTAGATATTCACTTGTGATACCATAGATTCCAGGGATTTAGAAAATGGAATTATTGTAGTCAGTTCTTTGTTTAACACACAGTCACAATGGACTGAATGTCCTTCTTCTGCAGTGTAAATATCTCAACATTTGTGACTTTACACAGATACTGTCAATGTTAGCACACAGATATGATCAGTGTTAGTGAACCAATACAGTCAGCATTAGTACATAGATAGGGAGAGTTTTAATACAAAGATAAGGATAGTGTTGTTCACTGGAAGTATTGGTATTAATGCACAAATAAGGAAACCTGTTAGCGTATAGAGATAGTAAGAACTGCAGATGCTGGAGTTAGAGATAATGCAGTGTGGAGCTGAGGAACACAGTAGGCCAGGCAGCATCAGAGGAGCAGGAAAGTTGATGTTTCGGGTCAGGACCATTCTTCAGAAATGGGAGGGGCGGTTGGGGTGGTGGATGGGAGCTCAGAAATAGAGAGAGCAGGGGTGGGGCTGGGGAAGATAGGTGGCATGGTGATAGGTGAGTGCAGGTAGGGAGTGGTGGGGATAGGTCAATGACTTATAATATCTGGGTTGCTAGAGCCAAAATTAGGAGAGCTCTCTCATAGTGTCAAACAACAGCCTGACATTGTTATACTCAGGGAATCCAAGTTGAACTCCTCGAATTCAATCCCCAATGGCATTTTTAACATGGACTGCAGTGGCTCAAGAAGGCCACCACCTTCTCAAAGGTAAATAGGGAAAGGCAATAAATGCTGACCAGCCAGCAATCATCCCATGAGTGAACAGAAAAAGTACATCACTCCCTCAGCACTGCTCCTTTGACAGTGCAGCTGTTCCTCTATATTGTTTCCCTAATGTACAGCACTCCCTCAGAGATGGGGTAGTAAATGCTAGCCTTGGCAGAGACACTCATGTCCCATGAACAAATAATAAAAAATAAATTTCCCCCAACCCCAACAATGCAATAATCCCACAGTACTGGCTCCCCCAGTGGTATGGCACTCCCTCAATACTGCCTTGAGATTTCAATGTACATTTTATGTTCAAGTTTCTGGAGTGAGACTCACAACCTTTTGATTCCAGAGGCAATAGTTACTGAGTTATACATAGAACATAGAACAGTACAGCACAGTACAGGCCCTTCGGCCCATGATGTTACGCTGACCTATTGTCCTACTCTAAGATCAAACGACCCTGCATACCCTACATTTTACTATCATCGATGTCCCTAATGTATCTGACTCCACTACCACTGCCGGCAGCGCATTCCACGCACCCAATACTCTCTGGGAAAATGTCTCTGCCAATCCACTCTATGCCTCTCATCATCTTGTACACCTCTATCAAGTCACCTCTCATCTTTCTTCGCTCCAATGAGGAAAGCCCTAGCTCCCTCAACCTTTCCTCATAAGACCTGCCCTCCAGTCCAGACAGCATCCTGATTAAGTTTTAAGATTTTTACTGCAGCAAACTAAAAGCAACATTGTCTAAATGCTATTCTATTATGGAGCTTATATGCCACTAAAGGATTTAACTTTACTTTATACTGTCTGACAAATAAATTCCACGTGTCCTTGCTCATCCATTTGATGCAACTGCAATTCAAATAATGTTCCAAAGTCAGTACTGAAGAAGGGTCACTGGACCCAAGACATTGACTCTGCTTTCTTTCCACATATGCTGCCAGACATGCTGAGTTCTTCCCACAATTTCTGTTTTTGTTGTTGACTTCCAGCATCTGCAGTTCTTTTTTTTCTAAAGTCAGTTTCTTGACCTGTAAAGAATGAAGTCAGGGAACATGGAGCAGTCTATACTTACTGTGATGAGTTTGACTCAGTTGGACTCTGTAACAGCATGGCTGAGGATGAGAAATTACAAAGTTATTCAATATTATGAGAGGAAAAGTATAATGATATAAGGTGACAGACATGAAACATTAACTCTGTTTATCTCTGTTTATCATCGCCACGGATACCTATGATTTCCTCCTTTTAATTCAGATTTTTAACATCAATGGCATTTTGCTATTATATTGTTGTAGAGAGGAAACATGTCTTTCAGTCTGGTTTGGAAATTCCCCAAGAGTTTGGGAAATACCTTGAAATGAAGGAATCTCATGCATTTGGGAACAGTAGGTCTATTGGAGTCAAGTCTTCATTCCACTTGGCAACAGGTTGACTCCTTCAGTTGAAATATCCTGGTGTGAGTCACATTTTGGGGAATAATGTTATTGATTAATCTCTCTTATTGGCCATTTATAGGCATCCATTACTGGACAAAGATGAGAAATCAATTACTCAGGATTTCAGAACTTGGGACTTGTGACTATTCAAGGATATGTTCCCATGGTACAGAATGTTACATTTCAGGGAATAAATAAATCCAATTAGCACAGACTTATTAAAGACACATACTTTGATGCACTTGAATTAGTTCTGTGCAGAAGTAATTCAAAGGGTTAATTGACAGTGATGAGGCTATAGGTTTTCAGAGGACATTGATATAGCACCAAGTAATAAATTTGCTAAAAATTAAAGCCTATGGAATGAAAATGATAATGTCAGTATGGATATGGTATTGGCTGAAGAACAGAAAGTAGAGAGTATGGTGAATTCTCACACTGGAAGGTGATCTCAAAGAGTTAATATTCACATTTTTTCCTGATATAAATGACTTGGACAAGGGAATGTAAGGCACCATTTGGAAGTTAGTAAGTAACATGAAACTTGGAAAAGTTATAAATTCAGAGAAAAAAAGTAAGTAACTTCAGGAATGCAGAGACTGTTGAAATTAACCACATGGCAGTTGAAAGCTCATACAACAATAACACACTTTGGAAGGAGAAATGATATGAACACAAGTTAGATGTTACATCTCAAGGAGGTTTCAGGAACGGGGAGACTTGTGGGCTGGGGTGCATAAACAAGTTTTTAAACATGAGAGGATAAGTTGACAATTTTGTACAAAATCATATGAGAACATGATTAATGGAGAAATAACGTAAAAAACCAGTTATATTAAATCTTTATGAAACACTAGTTAATGCCCCAGCCAGAATAATATAATTTGCTGTAACTGGTCTTGGTACATTCGTTACTCTTACTGTGGAATATTTATTCCTCATGATACTTTGCAATGTAAATTAACATAATCAGGAACTGGAATTGACGTGGTAAATGTAATACTTTCTCAGGAGAAAAATACGAAATGTAATGCCCAGCAGCTACAGGCCATTTAGTTTAATATGAATAGAGAGTAGGATTTTAGAAACATTATTTACGAATAAAATGTCAGAAGAGGTTTGGCTTAATTAAGGAGCCACCACAGATTTATAAAAACATAGATACTGCTTCACTAATCTAATCATATTTTTCATGAAGGTGTATGGATTTTAAGACACCCTTTTCTTTATTCTTTCAGTGGATGCCAGCTTTACAGACTGGGCCAGTACTTATTGCACATTCCTAATTGCCCTGGAGAAGATAGTTTTAAGCTGTGTTTTTGACCCACTGCAGCCTTAGGAGTGTAGGGACCCCTGAATACGGTTAGGGAGGGAGTTCCATATTTTTACTCAACAACAGTGAAGGAACGGTGACACAGTTCCAAGTCAGGATGATCCAAGGTTTTCAAGGGAACTTGCAGATGGCAATGTTCCTTTGTTTCTGCTACCCTTGAACTTCTAGGTAGAAGTTGTCACAGGTTTGCAAGGTGCTGTCAAAGGAACATTAGTGAGAAGTTATACTCACGTGTTCCAACCACCGTAAAATGTAGTAAAAAAGGTGTGCTCAATGACACATAAGATGCACTCAAGAAGGTAAAATGGTTCCACGCTAAACAAACAAAACTGCACAATCACCACATGAAAGTAAAAGGAACTTTCACAAGTCTGGGTGAAATGATGGACCGTGGGTGATATAGGTGTATCTATAGAAGAACAGTCACTGGGACATGCACGAGCGTCACCACTATCCTAGCCCCACAACTAAAGACACTTAGAGTTATAGATAGAGATAAGAAGTGCAGATGCTGGAGAATCTGAGATAACAAGGTGTAGAGCTGGATGAACACAGCAGGCCAAGCAGCATCAGAGGAGCAGGAAGGCTGACGTTTTGGGCCTAGACCCTTCTTCAGAAATAGATAACACAGTGTGGAACTGGAGGAACAAGCAAGCCAGGGAGCATCAGAGGAGCAGGACATTTCGGGTTGGGACCCTCAGAAGGGTCCTTGACTTGATAGAGGTGTACAAAATGATCAGAGGTATAGATAGAGTGGACAGGCAGAGACTTTTTCCTAAGGTGGAGGTAGCTATTACGAGGGGGCATAGTTTTAAAGTGAGTGGAGGTAGATATAGGGGAGACATCAGAGGTAGGTTCTTTACTCAGAGAGTGGTAGGGGCGTGGAATGCATTGCCAGAGAGGGTAGTGGAGTCGGTCTCATTAGGGGCATTTAAGCGGCTATTAGACAGGCATAAGGATGGTAGTATAAGATAGGGGTGGAGGTTAGATAGACCTTAGGTTTAGGGTAAAAGCTCGGCACAACATAGTGGGCCGAAGGGCCTGTACTGTGCTGTACTGTTCTATGTTCTATGATACAAAACGTCAGCTTTGCTGCTTCTCTGATGCTGCCTGGCCTGCTGTGTTCCTCCAGCTCCACACTGTGTTATCTCTGACTCCAGCATCGGCAGTTCTTACTATCTCTGATAGAGTTACAGAGGCATACAGCATGGACACAGACAAACTAGTCCATGCTGATCAGACATCCCAATCCGACCTAACCCCATTTACCAGCATTTGGCCCATATCTCTCTAAACTCTTCCTATTCATATACCTACTCGGATGCCTTTTAAATGTTGTAATTGTACCCACCTTCACCACTTCCTCTGGCAGCTTGTTCCATACATGCACCACCCTCCACGTGAAAAAGTTACTCCTCAGGTCCTTGTTAAACCTATCCTCTCTAGTTTTGGACTCCACCAGCCTAAGAAAAAGACCTTGGCTATTCACGTTATCATGATTTTATAAATGTCTATAACGTCACCCTTCAGCCTCTGACACTCCAAGGAACAAAGTCCCAGCCTATTCAGGAACAAAAATAAAAGTTGCTGGAAAAGTTCAGTGGCTCTGGCAGCATCTGTGAAAAAAAAATCAGAGTTAACATTTTGGCTTCTGTGACCCTTCCTCAGAATTGGTCACCAGACCTGAAATGTTCACTCTAATTTTTCTTCACAGATGCTGCCAGACCTGCTCAGCATTTCCAGCAACTTCTATTTTTGTTCCTGATTTACAGCACCCACAGTTCTTTTGGTTTTTACCTCAGCCTCTCCCTATAACTCAAACCGTCTGGATCTGGCAACATCCTCGTAAATCTTTTCTGCACCCTCTCAAGTTTAACAACATTCTTCCTATAGAAGGCCAATCAGAGTTGTACGCAGTATTCTAAAAGTGGCCTCACCAATATCTTGTACAGCCACTACATGTCATCCCACTCCTATATTCCATGTTCTGACCAATGAAGGCAAGCATACCAAACATGTTCTTCAACACTGTGTACCTGCGACTCCACTTTCAAGGAACTATGACTTGCACCTCTAGGCTCCTTCTTTGATAACACACCCTACGGTGCTACAATTAATTGTATTAGTCCTGCCCTGATTTAATCTGGGAAATGGAAAGGAGAGCGCCCAAAATGTGTTAGCCCTAAAGGCCCAATGTATGACTTGAGAAGTCATAAGGCTTTGAACATTCCTGTAACTTCTGTAACCAAATAAGTTGCTATTTAACCAAGTGGATCTTCTCGGCCTAGGTAGTATATTAGGACTCAAGAAAAAGTTCATCTTTCTTTATGTTTTTTCAGGAAGAGAAAGGAAAAGAGGAAACAATGACGGAGTGTGTCAGTGCTTCTCTAAGGAATCACGATGTGAAAGTGTACCCTATGTTTTGGATAGTGATCTTAGAATAGAATTTTTTTTATAGAATAGAATCCCTACAGTGCGGAACAGGCCCTTTGGCCCAACAAGTCCACACCAACCCTTGGAGCATCCTACCCAGACACATCCCACTAATCTACGCACCCCTGAACACTATGGACAATTTAGCATGGCCAGTCCACCTAACCTGCATATCTTTAGACTGTGGCTAGAAACCAGAGTACCTGGAGGAAATCCACGCAGATATGAGGAAAATGTGCAAACACCACACACACACAGTCACCTGAAGGTGGAATTGAACCTGGGCCTCTAGCACTGTGAGGCAGCAGTGCTAACCATTGAACCACTGCACCACCCACTGTCCCACCGATCCTCAATGACCACCTACCGAGGGAAAATAGTTAAAGCTGAAGAATGTGTTACTAAACGTGACTAAGATCCAAATCTTGTGAATCTACAGTTCATTGTAAAATAATGAAATTATTGAATGAAGGTGCAAATTACAGCAGGTGCTGGTAAAGTACTGAAAACAACAGAGATAGTAGGAGCTGCAGATGCTGGAGAGTCTGAGATAACAGGTGTAGAGCTGGATGAACACAGCAGGCCAAGCAGCATCCTGAAGATTTTCTGAAGAAAGTCGAGGCCCGAAACATCAGCTTTCCTGCTCCTCTGATGCTGCTTGGCCTGCTGTGTATTTCCAGCTCTACACCTTGTTATCTACTGAAAACAACAAATGCTGGAGATCACAGCGGGTCAGATGGTATCCATGGAGAGAGAACAAACGTAATGTTTCGAGTCTGTTTGACTCTTCATCAGAGCTGAAGTGAAGTGTGGAGGGGACAGCATTTATCCTTGTGGGGAGGGTTGTGGAGGTAATGGGTGTAGGGTTCTGGTGGAGAAAAGATGTTGATAGTTCAGATTAAGTGATCAGAATGTGAGAATGGCAGAACAATGGTGTGTCTCCTGCCAGACTTGAAAGGACAGACAGTCCCACTGGAATGAGGGAAGGGCAGAGAGGTAATGATAACTGAATGCAACAAGCTAAAAGAAAGGGAAGAAGTAGGAGTTGGTTCACAATTTGAAGGTGTTGAACTCAATATTAAGTCCAGAAGGCTGTGAAGTGCCTAATCTGGAGATGAAATGTTGCTCCTCCAGTTTGTGCTGTGATTCACTGGAGGACTGAGGCATGCTGAGGACAAACATAGAACATAGAACATACAACATTACAGCACAGTACAGGCCCTTCGGCCCTCGATGTTGCGCTGACCTGTGAAACCAATCTGAAACCCATCTAACCTACACTATTCCATTATCATCCATATGTTTATCCAATGACCATTTAAATGCCTTTAAAGTTGGCAAGTCTATTACTGTTGCAGGCAGGGCATTCCACGCCCTTACTATTCTCTGAGTAAAGAACCTACCTCTGACATCTGTCCTAAATCTATCACCCCTCAATTTAAAGCTATGTCCCCTCATGCTAGCCATCACCATCCGAGGAAAAGGGCTCTCACTGTCCACCCTATCTAATCCTCTGATCATCTTGTATGTCTCTATTAAGTCACCTCTTAACCTTCTTCTCTCTAATGAAAACAGCCTCAAGTCCCTCAGCCTTTCCTCATAAGACCTTCCCTCCATACCAGGCAACATCCTGGCAAATCTCCTCTGCACCCTTTCTAATGCTTCTACATCCTTCCTATAACGCGGCGACCAAAACTGTACGCAATACTCCAAGTGCAGCCGCACCAGAGTTTTGTACAGCTGCAACATGACCTCATGGCTCCGAAACTCAATCCCTCTACCAATAAAACCTAACACATGGTACACCTTCTTAACAACCCTATCAACCTGGGTGGCAACTTTCAGTGATCTATGCACATGGACACCGAGATCTCTCTGCTCATCCACACTACCAAGAATCTTACCATTAACCCAGTACTCTGTATTCCTGTTACTCTCTCCAAAGTGAATCACCTCACATTTTCCGCATTAAACTCCATTTGCCACCTCTCAGCCCAGCTCTGCAGCTTATCTATGTCCCTCTGTAACCTGCAACATCCTTCCGCACTATCCAAAACTCCACCGACTTTAGTGTCATCTGCAAATTTACTAACCCATCCTTCTACGCCCTCATCCAGGTCATTTATAAAAATGCCAAACAGCAGTGACCCCAAAACAGATCCTTGCGGTACACTGCTAGTAACTGAACTCCAGGATGAACATTTCCCATCAACCATCACCCTCTGTCTTCTTACAGCTAGCCAATTTCTGAGCCAAACCGCTAAATCACCCTCAATCCCATGCCTCCATATTTTCTGCAATAGCCTACCGTGGGGAACCTTATCAAACACTTTACTGAAATTCATATACACCACATCAATCGCTTTACCGTCATCCACCTGTTTGGTCACCTTCTCAAAGAACTCAATAAGGTTTGTGAGGCATGACCTACCCTTCACAAAGCCGTGTTGACTATCCCTAATCAAACTATTCCTTTCTAGATGATTATAAATCCTATCTCTTATAATCCTTTCCAACACTTTACCCACAATCGAAGTAAGGCTCACTGGTCTATAATTACCAGGGTTGTCTCTACTCCCCTTCTTGAACAAGGGGACAACATTTGCTATCCTCCAGTCTTCTGGCACTATTCCTGTAGACAATGACGACATAAAGATCAAAGCCAAAGGCTCTGCAATCTCCTCCCTAGCTTCCCAGAGAATCCTAGGATAAATCCCATCCGGCCCAGGGGACTTATCTATTTTCACATTTTCCAGAATTACTAACACCTCCTCCTTATGAACCTCAATCCCGTCTAGTCTAATAGCCTGTACCTAGACTAGATTTTTTCCTGCTTGAGAACTCTATAGCCTTCTGGACACAATATTGAGTTTGGAGGTAGTAAGAACTGGAAACGCTGGAGTCAGAGACACCACAGTGTGGAGCTGGAGGAACACAGCAGGCCAGGCAGCATCAGAGGAACAGGAAAGTTCTGATCTGAAATGTCTGCTGTGCTCCTCCAGCTCTACACAAGGGTCTAGGCCCAAAACATCAGCCTTCCTGCTCCTCTGATGCTGCTTGGCCTACTGTGTTCATCCAGCTCTACACCTTGTTATCTCAATATCATATTCAACAGTTTTAGCGCTTGAGGCATTTTCTCCGTTTCGTTACTCCAAGCCCCACACAACAGGCCTTGTTACCACATGGTCTGCTATTACATTCAACCCATTGTTAGCCTTTAATAGTCTCCATTAACAGCTATTCATTCTCCCAGGCTGACCATTATCCACTCTTTGTCTGTCCAATTGTTCTTCACTGTCTTAGGGCTCTATCTCCACCTATCATTTCCTGCTTACCACTCTTGCACCCCTCTGCCCCCACACACTGCATAAAAATCAACCTTTCCTAGCTACTTGCAGTTCTGAGGAAGGGTCACTGGACCCAAAATATTAACTTTGATTTCTCTTGACAGATGTTCTCTGACCTGCTGAGCTTTTCCAGCAATTTCTGTTTTTGTTTCTGATTTCCAGCATCCACAGTTCTTTTGGCTTTTTTTCAGTAGATACAGTGTTTGAGTTTGGTACTAATTTTATTTAAAATGGGACATGGTGCTAATGTTCATTGATACAAGAGAAGTGATTCTGAGGAATTGGAACATTAGTCACTTAGGGGCTGAGTCCCGCAGTCAATTCTTCAACCAGAAAGTTTCAACTTAAAATAAGCCAGTATTTGAAACTATTAGGAAGGTCCTGCATAAAAGCCATTTGTAATTTACATTTTTTCAAAATTCGGACAGACCTTGCCACCTGAACTTCCAATGAAACTGGACCTAAGCAAACTCTGAAAATCTGACATATTCATAATGAGTGATTTTTTCAGTGTACTAATCAAGAGATAGCAGAAGCCAGCAGACTCAGAGACACAACTGGGCAGACATGTGTCCAGTTCAATTATTTGTCTTGACTTTGAACTGCTGTGAAAAACTTATAGAACTGGAAATAATACGTAAAGACCAATATAATGATATGCATTCGCCATGTTTGAATGTGTTTCTGCATTCCTTGGAAATGCTAAGAATTGTTGATTTGAATGAAACCCAATGTTATGAAAAGCAGGATCTTCCCAATTGAAGCATCTTTATATTATTGGAATATTTACGAACCTGGGATATGAGATTGTTGCAATATGTAAAAAGGCATGGATATGGGATAATAAATAATTGCCTAGGTGTGATAAATGGCAGTTTTGAGAAATGTTTGTTGAGCAATTGTAACTGCAGTGGTAGGAACAGTCTGAAGCTTCACAAAAAATATGTTTAAGGAGGCGATTGAATGAAGTAAATTAGGAAATTTCAGGTAAAGGAGCAGAAGTAACAAAGCAACAACTTTCCAGAGATAACAACTTTTCAATGTTTTCAAGGAATGATGGATGTCAGAAGTTATAGTGTTTGTGAGCATGGAATTGAATTGACTTAAAACCAAAGAAGTGCTGAGGTTAGTACATTTAACAATAACTACTAAAAGTTTTGTGAGTCCTGATCTTTTGATACAGTAATATCTTCAGGAAAAAGAAAATACCACTTACCCTCAGCTCCCAGACTCAGGTCATCCTCAAAACTGTTCTTAGCACTCAGCCCTGAAGGAAAACCAGAGACAGACTTCCAACAACAGTCAATAACAGCCTTCAAAAGCACAATAACAGCTTTCAAAATCAAAAACATAAATTGCTGGAAAAACTCAGCAGGTCTGAAGCATCTGTGGAGAGAAAGCAGAATTAATATTCTGCATCCAGTGACCCTTCTTCAGATCATTCTTAACCTTCAAGGGTAACTGCACCGGAAACATTACTTCTGCTTCCTCTCTACAGATGCTTTAGACCTGCTGAGTTTTTCAAGCAATTTCTGTTTTTATTTCTGATTTCCAGCATCCGCAGTTTTTTTTGTTTAGACAGTAACAGTTTTCATTTTTACATGTTAATATTTTGTGAGTGCTTTTCAAAGAATGTTATTCATCTAAGTTTTGCACAAGCAATATAAAAGAGATACCAGGATAGATAACCAAAAGTTCAAAGAGTCTTAAACAGCATCATAAGGGAGAGCAGAGAGATGGAGAGGTGGAGAGTTGGAGAGATAGAAAAGTGGAGAGATGGAAGGGTGGAGAGATAGAAACGTAGAGAGTTTGGGAAGGGAATTCTAGAGCAAAGAACCTGTGCAACTGAAGTTAAAAACGGTATTGGAGTCCAAAATTAGAGGGCATTAGCTTAAAGTGAGAGGGAAAAGACCTGAGTGCTAAGTTTTTCACACAGAGGGTGCTGCATGTATAGAATGAGGCTTCCAGAAAGGGAACCAATGTGCATTATTGAGCATAGTGCTGCTGTGTGAACTAGACTTGGTGTGAGCTACACCAAGGACAGCAGTGTTTTAATTAACACTGTTCTGAGGAAGGGTCACTGGACCCGAAATGTTAACTCTATTTTTTTCTTCACAGATGCTGCCAGACCTGTTGAAATTTTCCAGCAACTTTGTTTTTGTTTATGATTTACAACATCCACAGTTCTTTTGGTTTTTATTTAGTGTTTTAATAAACTTGCATTTAGGATTGAAGTCAAGTTTAGAGGTAATAAAGGGGGTTTCTTCAGTTGACATTTGGATGCAAGAACAGAATAGGATGATGTTATGGAGATAGAAATATGCAGTTTAGGAGGTGGTTCAGATTGTGGTCAGAAACTCATCTCTGATAAATTACTGCAACCATTAAAAAAAATGCTCTGAGCTGTATTACACAATCGATAAATGATCTTACATGCCCCCTTGGAGGGAGGTAGTTACTGTGTTGCAGATATAATGATTTGAACTAGAAGCACATTACCAAGGTCACAAATAGTCTGTTGCCCAGAGAGAAGGAGGGAGTTCTGAAGGAAGATCACTGGATCAAAAATTTTGACTCTATTTTGACTCCGCAGTGGCTGCTAGACCTGCTGAGTTTCTCCAGCAACTTCTGTTTTCTTTCAGATCTCCAGTATTCACAGTTCTTTGTTTTTAAAAGGAGTGAATGATTAGCTATGACTTTATATTATATAGCTCATCTCCTTATGACCCTCGCCTTGTAAGAATCAGAATGAAAAGGCTTAACTTCTTGCCATTTGATCCCTTGAAGAGTAGGCATGGATCAAGAATCTTTAAGCCACAGAATCTCTCATTCGTTGACTGGGCAGCAGTTTCCGGTGAGCCAAGACACCATTGGCAAGGTTTGTGATTTACCAAGAAGCTCATTGAAGCTTACCAGTCAAGTCTTAACCAACTGAATAATGTGCAAGTTTCCCCAACAATGAGAACAGCAATTTAGTCAGCACCTGACATACCTGTCCCTAGGCTTACCCTCCAAAACGGAAAATTTCAGCCATGTGAATCAGCCCACATGTGATAAATTGTACCTTTTAGTCCAGGGGGGTTGCTCTCCTCCTGTAGGCTTGCTTGACAGGATCTGTTTAAAAGAAAAGTACTGGAAGTCACATTTGATCTGGGATAAAATTTATTGCGATTTGATAAAATATGTTTAATAAATCAAAAGCAGCACAGATTTGTCAAGTCATCATGCTCAGAGGAGGCCATTCAGCCAATGCAGATCATGATTTTGATTAACTTAATCTAGTTTTTTAATGAAGTGAAGAGCATTATTAAGAATAATGTGGTTAATAAAATTTCAAAAGAAGTTGATCTTGAGATGTAGATATAAACAGATAGAAGAGATGTAACCTTTGTTAGCAAAATACAAAATTGCATAATACAAAATTAACTAGGGACACAAAGTGGAGATTTGAGATGAATCCAAAAGCAAAATATTGCAAATGCTGAAAATTTGAAAAAATGACAGAAAATGCAGGAAATTCTCTGCAGGTCAAACAGCAACTGTGGCAAAAAAAAACAAGATTAGTGGTTCAGAATGAGGCCTTTCAAGATTTGAAATTAATGCTTGCTTTTCAGCCTGGATAGAAGTGTGCAGTGAAGTGATCATTGTTACAACCATTGCTCATTTTGATATATATTTGTGACCTGAACAGTGTTCATAAGGTATAATTTCTAAGTGTTTGCATGACACAAAACTGGAAAGTATAGGAAACGGTGAGGAGGATGGGAATATACTTCAGAAGGATGTGCACAGGCAATTGAAATATGGAGATATAATTTTAAGTCATAGAGGTTTTTATAGGCAGAGTGAGGAGAGCCAAGATAAAATAAATGATAGTATTCAAGAGTTACTTGCAAGGAGCTTGAAGGTGATTTTATTTCCACGTTCCCTTGATGTTTATGATGTACTAATGATGTCAGAATCATGTGATTTAGCGGAGGGAGCTGAAGCTCTAACTGAATGCAGATGGAATAGATTGTGCTGTAAACAAAGGGTTCTTGCAGAAATTTTAAAGGACTCAAGAAGTGCTACTTTGGGAGATGAAATATGGAGTTAAATCCAAAAACACAACAAATCTCTAGAGGTTCTGAGGAAGGATCCCTCGAACTGAAACATTAAGTCTGATTTCTCTCCGCAGACACTGCCAGACCTGCTGAGCTTTTCCAACAATTTCTGTTCTTGCATCTAATTTACAGCATCTGCAGTTCTTTTAGCTTTTAAATCACTAGGGGCCGCAGGATTGGAAGATGCTGTTGAAGGAGTTGCTGCAGCGCATTTTGCTCGTGCCACTGTGCATTGGTGGTGGAGGAGTGATTTTTCAAGACAGTGGACTAAGTACAAATAAAGTTGTCCTGTATAGTGACAACAAGGTGCAGGGCTGGATGAACACAGCAGGCCAAGCAGCATCATAGGAGCAGAGAGGCTGACGTTTCGGGCCTAGACCCTTCATCAGAAAAGGGGGAGGGGAAGGGGGTTTTGAAATAAATAGGGAGAGAGTGGGAGGCGGATAGAGGAGAGGATAGGTGGAGAGGAAACAAACAGGTCGAAGAGGCGGGGATGGAGCCAGGAAAGGTGAGTGTAGGTAGGGAGTTAGGAAGGGGATAGGTCAGTCCAGGGAGGACGGACAGGTCAAGGGGGCAGGATGAGGTTAGTCGGTAGGAGATGGAGGTGCGGCTTGAGGTGGGAGGAGGGGATAGGTGGGAGGAAGAACAGGTTAGGGAGGCAGGGACGAGTTGGACTGGTTTTGGGATGCGGTGGGGGGAGGGGAGATTTTGAAACTTGTGAAATCCACATTGATACCATTGGGCTGCAGGGTTCCCAAGCGGAATATGAGTTGCTGTTCCTGCAACCTTCGGGTGGCATCGTTGTGGCACTGCAGGAAGCCTCTTGGCCTGTATAGTGTTGAGTTTCTTGAGAATTGTTGGAGCTGAATTCAATGAGGCAAGTGACAGTCATCCATCACACTCCTAATTTGTGCCTCGTAGATGTTAGACAGGATTTGGAGAATCAGGAATTGAGGTACTTGCTGCAGAATACCCCGTCTCTGACCTGCTGTTGTAGCCATAGTATTTATATGACTGGTCCATTTCAGTTTCTGGTCAATGGTAATCCCCTTAGAATGTCGATTGTGGCGGATTCAATGATTGTAATCCCGTTGAATATCAAGGGAGTTGCTTAGATTCTCTTTTATTTGAGGTGGTCAGGCCTGACACTTGTTGGGTGCAAATGTTACTTAGCCAAAGCATGGATGTTGTCCAGGGATGCAGGAATAAATTATTTAATCTCTCTGCAATATTGTGAATGGAAATGAACACTTTATCAGCAGACATCTCCTGTTTTGATCTGATGGTGGAGGCAATGTCATTGATGAAGCAATTGAAGACAGTTGAACCCAGAACATGACACTATGGAAGTCCTGCAGTGATTCCGCAAGTGACCTCTGACTTTCTTCCTATCTATTAGATATGATTCCAACCACATTCCCCCCATCTCTGATTCCATTTGCTCCAATTTGGACCCTAAGATTTATGCCACACTCAAACAAATTATGCCAATATGTCAAGTGCAGTTACTCTCACCTCACCCTTTGAGTTCAGCCCTTTTATCCAAGATTAGGTAAGGAATCAGGTGCCAAATGGTACTGGCAGAATTCAAACAACATAAATGAACAGGTAAAGTTGCTGAAAAAGCTCAACAGGTCTGGCAGCATCTGTTAAGGAAACAACAGAGTTAATGTTTTGGGTCCGGTGAGACTTCCTCAGTTCTTAGGAAGGGTCACCGGACCCAAAACTTCGTTTTTGTTCCTGATTTATAGCATCTGCAGTTCTTTCAGTTTTTATAAATGAACAGGTTGTTGATAATGAAGTGCCACTTGATAATACTGTCCACCTATACTCTCCAATGAACCACGGTTTATCCCATGGCATCCTGGGTGCCGGAACAAAATGACTTGGGTGTGTATGCTCATTAATCATTGAATAATAATGGGCAATTTGATCGGACTATTCAAAAAGGAAAGGAGATTCTTGGCTTTAAAAAGCAGTTGAATATAAAAGTAAGGGAGCTTTAGTTATAGAATCACAACATCATATTGCACGGAAGAGGCTGTTCAGTTCATTGAATCCAAAAAATGCACTACTACCGACAATAGCTCCTTCTCCCGGCTCTATGCCCATAGCCTTGAACAGTTTGACACTTAAAGTATTCATCCAAGTATCATTTTAAGTTTGTGAGGTTTCTCGCTTCAATGACCCTCCGGACATTTTATTCCTGATCCCTATCACCTTCTGGGCAAAAAAGTCTTTCATCTAATCCTTTCTAAACACCCTGGCTTTCATTTTTAAAGTATGCCCCTCTTTTTCCTCCCACAATCTGAAAATTTGCAAGTTAGGTGGATTGGCTATGCTAACTTGGATGTCAGGGATAGAACATAAAACATAGAACAGTACAGCACAGTACAGGCCCTTCAGTCCACGATGTTGTGCAGACCTATTATCCTACTAAGATCAATCTACCCTGCATACCCTACATTTTACTATCCTCCATGTGCCTATCTAAGAGTCGCTTAAAAGCCTCTAAAGTATCTGACTCCACTATCACTGCTGGCAGTGCATTCCCACTCTCTGTGTGAAAAAAATATGCAGGCTAGGTGGATTAGCCATGGTAAATGTGGATTTACAAGGATAAGGTGAGGGAGTAGGTGTGCATGGTTAGATCTTTGGAGGGTCAGTGCAGCCTTGATGGGCAGCATGGCCTTTATCTGCACTGTAGGGATTCTATGATGCCATGATTCTTGAACTTTCAACTAAGGGCAGCAATTGCATTCTATCCATCAAATCCATGCTCCTTGTAATTTTATACACATCAATCATGTATCTTGTTGACCTGCTCTGCTCCAAGCTTATCCATCTGAACACCTGAAATGCTCCATCCTAGGCAAATCTCTTTTTCACCCGCTCCAGTGCAATCACATCCTTCCTACAATGTAGTCATCAGAACTGGTTACAGTACTCCATCTGTGGCCTAACCAAAGTACTGTACAGCTCCAACATTGCCACCTCTGATATAAATCGAGGCCTTCACTGATAAAGGCAAGCGTCCTGCATGTCTTCTTATCCACCCTATTCATCCTTCAGGAATCTGTGTAAAGCACCCCAAGATCCTTCTGCTCCTCTGGACTTTCTAGTGTTCTGCCATTCATTGAATACTCTTTTGCCTTCTTATCTCTTCAAAAGTTGATTACCTCACATTTATCAGGATTAAATTTCATGTTCCACTGATCTTACCACCTGACAAATCCATTTACATTTTCCTGTAGCCTAACACTTTGCTCCTCACTGTCAACCCCAAATTTAGTTATCATCGTTCTCACGTTCTCATCTATGAATATCACAAACAATGACACTGCACGCCAGTCTCCAATCACCACAAGCAGCCTTCTACCGCCACTCTCTGTTTTCTGCCATGAAGCCAATGTCATATTTAACTTGCCAAAGTATCTTGGATCTCAGGGGCTTTTATCGTCTTCATCAGCTTCCCATGTGGGAAATTGTCAAAGGCCTTGCTAAAATCCATATAAACTACATAAATTGCTTTACTTTCATTGACACAGTGGTCACTTCCTCAAAAAAAAATTCAATGAGATTTGTTAGGCATTACTTCCTATGCTTACTATCATTGATCAAACCTTGCTTTTGTATGTGGAAATTAATTTTCTCCTTTACTATTTTTGCTAATGGACTCCCTGCTACTTTTGTAAAGCTCACTGGTCTATAACTCTCTGGTTTATCTTTACCCTTCCAGTCATCTGCCACTTGTCCTGTGGTCAAAGATGCTTTAAAAATTTGGGTCAGGGTGCTGTTATTTCCTCCCTCATCTCTCACAACAGCATGGGATACAACTCATCTGCACCTGGGATCTTGTCCACTTTTAAACCAACCAAAATTTCCAATACCTCCGAGCTCTAATATTAATATGCTGAAGATCTACACAGTCCATTCTCTCAAAGTTTGTCCTTGCATACTCCATGGAAATCAAAAGAGACACTATATAATTATACTTTGTGTTCCTTTAAA